AAAAAAAAAAAAAAAAAGCTTGCAAACAGCCTTCTAAGATGCAACAGTTGGTCTCTCCTCATCCAGAGCAAGGAAGAGTGATAAAAAACAAAGACACATGGAAACAATTAGTCTAAGGACCACGGGAACCTCAGCCAACATGACCCTGGACTAGAACTAGATGGTCAGGCTACTGTTGTCAACCATTCAGAAAATGATCAGAATCGGAGATCCTGGATAGAGTGGGAGAAAAATGTGGAACAAAACTCAAAATCATAAAAAAAAAAAAAAACAGGCTTCCTGGGCTGATAATAGAGACTAAGGAAACCCCTGAGACTGTGGCCCCCAGTCACCCTTCAGGCCTATAATTGAATTCACTCCCATAGCTTAACTTCCAACCAAATAGACAGGCTTAAGAGGTAACAATTAATTATACCAGGTAGGTACACTTAGATCAATCAACCATGGGAGATCAGAAGAGCAGCATTTGCACAGGGGGATAGTTCAGAGGACAGGAATGCATAGGAAAGAACATAGGGAAGAGATAAGCCCAGGGAAGAAGTGGGAAGAAAGCTGTTACACTGTGGAAATGGCAATCAATGTCATAAAAGAAAATGCCTATAAACTGTTGAATGCAAAATGAATTTGCTCTGTAAACTTTCACCCAAATCATCTCTTCCTTTCTCAGTTTATCCCCTAACATCTTTAAGGGCTCCCCACCCTTGGAGTTCAGAAATTTGAAGGTCAACAAATGTTGAAATGGGGTCTATGAGTCCTTTTAAGTATTTCAAAACTTCTATAAAAACCCTACATTATAATAAACTCTCACAGGCTAATCAGCAGATCAAGTTTCTTTGCTTCCATCTGGAATGAAGTCAATTTAGCCAGCTATTGGTTATACTTGTGCTGAACAAAAAGGTTGGAATGGTTTTTTAAAATGAAAGCAAATTAGAACTTAGATCTTATAAACACGGGTTGTTTGCAGCTGACATCTCGGTGAGTCCCATCCCACGCCACTCTTTAATAATGAATGCTGGGTACTCGGGAGGGGGAGGACTTATCGCCTGGCTCAGTGAATCCACACTCCAGCCGTTAACGTTCCATTTCTTCCCCCCACGTCACTTTTGAGAAGCCAGACGCTGCCTTCTGACCCTTGGGAAGCCTGGAAATGTGAGTCTGGAAATGCTAGCTGCCTCAGTATTTACACACTTTACCATACATGGGAATTACTCAACACTGACGTCAGACAAATTCCTGGGGAGGTGCGTAGTATAACCATGTCATTACCATATAAATTCCTGACAACTAGAAACAGTAGGCAAAGCGGCTTCTGTCAGAACCCAGGACCCCATCCCCTGCAGCAGCTCTGCTGCCTTTTTAATAAAAAACTTCCCTTCTTAAGCAAAAGAGGCTCTGGTGGCACAGTGCCTAAGGCATTTGATTGCTAACCAGAAGATCCATGGCTCAAACCAGCTGCTCCACGGAAGGCAGAGGAGGCAATCTACTTCTGTAAAGATTTACTGCCTTGGAAATCCAATGGTTTGGGTCAGAACTGACTCGATGGTAGTTGGGTTTGGTTTTTTTTCTTCTTAAGCAGGCTTTTTTCCAGGCTTCTTGTCTTTTCTACAAACCTGCCCCCGAAATTCAAAAACACACATCAGATCTGGTGAAAACATACTGGGATCTGGGAACTAATTTTAGGGATTCTCTCCCCACCTCCCTGGCCACGGAGCAGAGTAAAAACCTAGAGGTTGTGAGCCATATTCCTCAAATAGTTTATAAATTGTGAAGCACTTGGTAAAGCTAACATGTTTCACCAATGGTAGATACATCCTTAGTTGAGTTAATCTGGAAAAAGAAAAATGTAGAGGAGCAAAGAAAAATAGTAACTGCGTGTGGGTTTTGGAAGCAGACTCAGTCAAGTTACTTATTACCTCTGAGCCTCAGTTTCTTCATCTATAAAATGGGAAGCATCAGTACCTACTTCACAAATTGTCCAAGATAATACATTTGAAGCACTTAGCAAATGCCTGGCAAATCACAAGTACTGTATCTATCTGCAGGAAGCTCTGGTAGCATAGTGCCTAAGGCACTTGACTGCTAACCAGAAGGCTGGAGGTTCAAAGCTACCAGCCACTCCTCGGAAGGAAGATGGGGCAATCTGCTTCCGTAGTGATACTGCCTCGGAAACCCAAGGTGGGGTCGCTATGGGTCGGGTCTGACTCTCTGGCATATAACAACAACAACAACATTATCTATCTGCTTAGTGTTATCTTAAGGAAAGGCCAAGGGTCACTGTACAATGTTGTATTTCTTTAGATATTTTCTAATCCTTCTGAGTAATGCCAAATGGCTGACTTAGAGGAAAAAGTCCCTCCGTTCTCACTAGCACCTCCTTGTATCTCCAAATGTTTGATGCATGTCTCTTCACAGTCCTCTAGCAGGCTAAGTTTTCCCAATAAGCTAGTCTTTCATAAATACTTAGAACTTTAGCAGACTACCACAAAAGCCTTTCCAATTCTTCTTCCCCACCAGGAGATCTATGGATACAAAGTATAACTTGTTGTCCTCACCTGGTCCTTAGCACTACTCACATGGAAAAACTGGCTAGTAACTATTTGTAAGGTTTCAGTAAAGAAAAATGACTGTCCAATTGGAAAGCTAAGAGTCCATTCCTATCTCATTCATTCACGAAACAGTTACTGATCATCAACCAAGGGCCAAATACTCCCCTTCCAGGTAGCAACTCTGGTCCCTCACTCATTGGCTCCTGAGATGTATTAAAGGAGACCATAGGCAAAAACTCCTGTTTTTCACTTGTTATTAGCAGCCCAATCATAGAGCTAGTGGACCTGCTCTTCAGTTTCTCTCCTGCATCCTCCCCACATATCTCTGTACTGGGCATCTGAGGCCTGGCAGACAGTTCTCTCCTTCCCCCTCCTCTGGCCCATACCACACCCTCTGTGGGATAAATTTCCTTCCCTGTCTAACTGTCCTCCGCCCTGCATATCCTCTCAGAGGCAAAGGGTCATTCACTGGGAGACTGAGCAGGAGGGAAGCTGGATTCGGGCATGGATGGATTAAATGCTGCATTAAGAGTGAATGAGGGTTAAGGACAATCTCTCTGGACCTCCTGAACCCCCGGTTGGAGAATCAGAAGGCAGCTGCTGAATAAGAGCAATAATAATAATAATAATAGCTGCTGAATAAGGGGAAGCTCAACACCCCTCTCCCCAGATCCTACCTGGGGGAAATCCCCAACTTGTATACCAAGATGACAGAAAGAAGCGTGCCTCAAGTTTCCTCAGCTTCTGGGAAGGAAAGAGGTGGGAGGGAGGGCAAGAAGGAAGACAGTAATTGAGTACTACTTTGTTTGAAGCTCTTGATAATACATTCCCTAAAAGAAAGAGAAGTATTGAGAGGTTAAGTAACTTGTCAAAGCATAGCAAGAGGCAAACCCAAGAGTCAAACCTCAGTCTGTCAGCCTTCCAAACAATCTCTCACCAGGAGTCCAGGCTGCATTTTCATGGTACTCTTTCTACCAGAGCTCAGTAGCAGATTTCTTGGCAGCACTGTGGCAGGATCTCAAAGTGAGGTGCTCAGAGTGGGAAGGTCCTGCCCATTGGGAAGGTGAGTGGCTCTGGAGAAGGGCCTATTCCCATGCTACAGCTCCCAGCATAGACCCGCTTCCTGATGGCAATAGCACAATGACCAGGAATATGCAGAATATTCTCAGGGTGTGTGACAAGCAATAAAATACCTGCCTCAGGGGGTTGCTTGTTATTATCTACCGATAATATGTTGCAATGATCTTTTTATGTGCTCAGTAAAGGCCTTTCTTGCTCCTTCAAAACGCAGTGCTCAAGGACTGAGGCCACAAAACACTCACTGTGGACTTTTTCAGGTTTCTGTTATGTCCCCATTTAGAACCGAGACTTGAAGTGGAGAAAGCTCTTCTGGAAGTTTGCTCAGGGACACAGATCTCCAAAGTCTGGCTCCTAAAGCCAGATGTTTTCCTCACTCCACCCGCGGGCACTTTCTCCCTGGACAGGAGGGTGAGGAAAGGGGTGGCACGGATGCCCTCATCTCCCTAGCATACAATGAGCGTCAGTGGCGCGCAGAATCGCCGATTGTTCTGCTGCAGGACCTGCAGGAGGAGGGGAGAGCTGGGCCGCGTCAAGCCAGGGGCGCGCGGGAAGCCATGGGGTGGGGAGAGATCCGGCTCCTCCTGGAAAGAGGAACGCCGCCCGGGCTAACAGCGGCCATTTGTCACAATTCTTTGGACCGCCAAGGCCCCGGCCCATGCCACTTTCTCCCAACTTTTCTCGCAGCCTCCAGGGCCGCGGCAGGGCAGGAAAAATCAGGAGGCGCTCCATGCGCACACGGACGTCGCTACCGAGAGCAGCCTCAGAGGCACATGTGGGCCACGCTCTGGCCCGGGCGCCTGCAGCCCAGGGTCTGGGAAAGGGACGCACTCACCTGGCAGCTAGCTCGGACTGCACGCCGGGTGGGAGACACTCTCGGAAGCAGCAGCTGGGCGCGCTGGCCTCCGAGCAGTTTTGTTCCGCTCTAGGGAAGGCGTGTCCCGCGCCACGCCAACCAGTGGGCTTTGCACACTGCACCACACCAAGGCTGATGTCATGGCGCGAAGCCCCGCAGCGCTACCCCTCCAAGACCCGGGGCAGCCCCGACAGTGCGATCAGGACAGGAGACGCCGACTCTGGGCTTAACCTCGCACAGGCGCTGCAGCCCCACTGTGCGCGCCGCCGCTGTGGAAACTTCTTGCAAATGCAAGAAACTCCTCAGGGCTTTCAAGTCAGCCACAAAAGAAGGCAGAGAAGTGAGCTGAGAAGTCAGAAGCCTGATGAACTCGCGCTTCCGGGAAAGAGAGGTCTCAAATTTGCATATCGTCGCAGTAGGGTGTGAGGGACGCAAGGTGGTGGCCACAGTGAAACAGACCAGAGTTCTGCTCCTGCTCCTTTCACTTACAGCTAGGGCCTTGACCAAGACTCTTAGCTTCCTTGAGCCTCAGATTCCTCTCTGAGAATGGAGTATAATCTGTAGAATGTTGTGGGGATAAAATGAGATCATATAGGATTAGCAGTGGTCTAGCATGATTTTTATAAATAAAACTCAGTTACTGTTGAGTACATTCTGACTCATGGTGACCCAATATGTGTCAAAGAAGAACTGTGCTCCATAGGATTTTCAACGGCTGATTTTTCAGAAGCAGATTATATATGATACCCACCCACTGCCACCAACTCCATTTCAACTCATGGAGACCCTATAGGACAGAGTAGAACTGTCCCACAGGGTTTCCAAGACTGTAAATCTTTTATTATTATTATTTTATTGTAATTTGGATGAAAGTTTACAGAGCAAATTCAACTTCCATACAGCAGTTCACATACACTTTGTCTCATGACATTGACTGCAAACTCCCACAATGCAACAGCTCTCCTCCCACTTCCTCCCCATAGCAACCTCTTCCCTGTGTCCTTCCCTCCATGCTCTCCTGCCCCGAACCTGTCTCCTTATGCATATACAACCCTTCTTTTCTCCCATGATTGATCTCTCCAAGGAGTGTATCTACCTAATATAAATGTTCAGGTCATATGCCTGTCTTTTGTTGGCTAAAAGCCCCAGGAGTAGGTTCAATTCCAGACCTGAAGAGCAGCTAGAGGCCAATGTCTCAGGGCTTCCACTAGGCTCTATCAGACCAGCAAACCTGATCCATCCTTCCTTCCTTCCTTTCATGGTTTTGAGTTTTGTTGCACATTGTTCTCCCACTCTATCCAGGATCTCCTGCATAGATCCCCCTCTGAGTGGTTGACAGTGGTAGCTGGGTACCCTCTAGCTCTTCTGGTCTTGTAGTAATATAGGCTGAGGATCACATGGTGTACCAATCTTTTGGACTAATTGTTTCCATGTGTCTTTGGTTTTCTTCATTCTTCTTTGCTCTGGACGAGGAGAGGCCCATCATTGCATCTAAATGGCCACTTGCAAGCTTTTAAGATCCCAGTCACTAATCACCAAAGTAGGATGTGGAACAATGTTTTGTGTAGTTTGTTATGCCAATTGAGCTTCATGTCCCCTGGGACCATGGTCCCAAGCCCAGAGGTCCAATTACTCACTCCCTCCAGGTAGCTGGCTGTGGCCAAGGCAGTAAATCTTTATGGACACAAACTCCCTTATCTTTCTCCTGCGGAGTGGCTGGTGGGTTCAAACCGCCAAACTTTTAGTCAGCAGTAGAATGCTCTAACCACTGTAACACCAGGACTCCTAGATTACATGACAGATGCTCAGTAAACGTTAACTTCCTCCTCCAACAGCTTTTTCCCTCAGTTTTCCCCTATCTCCCCTGCTACCCAAAAGAACACTACCCCTTCTCCAGAAACAACAGATCTAAAAAGTGGGTACCTGTGGTAATTATGTTTGTGTGTCCATGTGGCTGGGCCTGGTTGAGTGGCTGGGCAGCTGGTGGTAGTTATTCCCCATGATGAGAGTGGTAATCAACTCCATGGTGGAATCTACAAGCAGCTGAGTAGCTGCCTTTGGGATGTGGTCTGCTTCCTGTATATAAGGAGAAGCCTTGGGAATGGTCTCTAGCTTATGCCATGGCATGCTTGGACCCTGCATGTAGCTATGTTGTTGTTCAGCGGCCTGCCATGCTCTGCCGACCTGGGGACTTACAATGGACTTGGTTAATGGTCTGCCGTGTGGTTTGGTAACATCGGGACTGTGCCTTTTTACTTGTCAACCTTGGGCTTGGCAGCCTCAGCAGCCAGCAGCTGTCTGAGTGAAGAAACTCCTCTAGCTCCAGTGGGCCGGGAGTGGAGGCAGAGCTGGACCCCAAGGTTTAGGGGCTTTCACCGAACCCCTAGAGCCTGACACTTTGAACTTGGACTTAAAGCCTCCAAACTGTAAGGGAATAAACTCCTATTTGTTAAGGCTATCCCATTTGTGGTATATTCTTGTCAGAGCAACACTAGGTAACCAGAAAAGTACCTCAGCTGGGGTTTTTCTCTGGGCTGCTAATCTTCAGTATGACAGATGCAGGCTCAGGCCCCTAAGAGCTGATCCTAGGTTATACCATCCCCATCACCTCGCCCAGTCCCCTGCCCTTTCTGAATTCCTAGTGCAGATGTTTCAGGACAGAGAAGCTAACACCCTATGAAACTGCTGCCTGGGTCAGTCAGAGTAAAGCCCCTACTCTTTCTGAATGCTGAAACATTCCACAACACCAAAATTCTGGATACAGAAGGAATTCTCCAGGGGCCTCAGAGCAGGCTTAGGTAGGGTACCAGACCAAAAACCGAAAAACCAAGCCCACTGCCATTGAGTTGATTCCAACTCATAACGACCCCCATTGGGTTTCCAAGGTGGTAAATCTTTATGGAAGTAGATTGCCTAGTCTTGCTTCCACGGAGTGGCTTGTGGATTTGAACCACTAACCTTCTGGTTAGCAGTCAAGTGCCTTAGGCACTACACCACCAGAGCTCCTGGGCACAGATTGTAGTAGGAAAGAAACCACATTCAGATATTGAGTATATATTTCAGTGTGATTATATGTGTGTATTTATATTGTATGGTTGTGTCTTTGTATAACTTTCTACTGCTTTCTTGGGGTCTAGAGCATTCTCTGAGAAGAAAGTACTACAGCCTACTTCTGACTATGGTAGTTAATTGGGGGCAAACCCTGGAGGATTTCCTGGGCAGCTGGTCACCCCTTACCCCAGGTCACCCACATCTTCCAGCCTGGGTAGGTATCCAGGACTCAGGCCTCCACAGACTTTATTTAAAGCCCTAGGTTGCTGAATCAGCTGTCTTCCAGGAATATAGTCAAATCTCTTCTGGTCCAGAAATGAAATATTCCTCTAGATTTGTCTTGATTCCTACCATTAGAAACATCTCTCTATTTGCCAGGTCTTCCAGTCAGTGAATAGGACCCTCCAAGATGGGATGTCTATAATCACCCAGTCAGTGTTTCTTTTGGACTGGGCCATCCCCATCTGAATCAACCAAGATATAGAAGAAGCCAGGAGAACTCCTGGTCATTTCTGCACCAAACAAGCAATAGATAAACAAGTAAATGAAATTACATAATTACAATTGGTGTCAGAGGCCGTGGGCTTGCTATCCAAAGATAGCACTCCTATGGGATTTGCTTCTCTCCTTTCAATTCTCAGATTTATGGAGAGATGAGCTGTGGAGTCCTGCCCAAGACTTTAGAAAAGGGCAAACTCCTGTGTTTTCTTCTCTGGTCTGGGTTGTCCTCTCTGAAGTCTGTGAGACTTTTCATGGGTTTCCTCAGTGAAGACCTGTGTTGTGAACTGCCCTTCTGGAAGGTCCAGAAAAGGGAGGGCAATAACTACAGTCGCGCTTAGATTTCTCTCAGGGGATCTTAAAGTGCCCCGTGAGTAGTGTGGCTGCATAGTTTATCATCCAAATCAGAATGCTATTGAAAGCAAATAGCATAGTGGTGGTATTAATAATTACAGAGGCAACAGACTACCCCAAGCAAACCAGGACATATGGCCACCTACTTATACATGCCAAAGACTGTGTCAGGGAACATATCTTGGGAACCATCTAAGTGTAACTGGAGATAAAGGAAGTCAAGTGGGCCCTGCTGTGTCTGCTACTTTTTCCAGAACATCGTGTCTCTTAGTTATGCTGTTCTCCCTGGGTGCTACCAACCCTTTTAGACTTGGGCTTGGATAGCCACGGGTAGATTAAGAACCTTAGTTTCTGGGTTGGGGTGAGGAGGAACTTTGGGATGCAGGTGAGTCAAAGGTGGTGCCAGGGTTATCAACCATGCAAACAGGCACCAGCCCAGTACTGAAATCACAGAAAGGCTAGTAAACCATCAAGGCTTGGGGCACTGCCCATGGCTACACTTCCTTAGGGCAGCGATATCTTTCTGGCTGACATCATTTATGTAACCATGCCCAGACTGGTTCTGCCTAACATCCACATCTACAGTGACAATGCAGTCAGAGTTCATGTCCAAGAGATTATCTGCTTGGGGTTCAAAAGGAGGCTTAGCACACACAGGGGCTTGGTTCCTTCTCTGGACTCGTAAAATAATCTAAATTTGCTATGTCCTCATCTCCTCTGCTTTGCACTCTACTCCCTACCATATTTAGATTGGTACTTAATGGGTCTGGGGATGAAGTGGGGTCCCTGGGTGGTACATACAGTCTCAGGGGATCACCTGATCAACAGTTTCTATACTGGGCAGCTCATTTCTCTGTGCTTCAGTTTCCTCCATGGTGAAATCATTCCCTTTAAACCATTTAGTAAGGAAGCCTAAATATGTAAGTGTGTAAAATCTGAGAGTCCAAATGGTAGGCAGTCCCTGGGTGGTGCAAACAGTTAAGTACTTGGCTACTAACAGAAGGGCTGGAGGTTGATGGCTCAAGTCCACCCAGATGCACATCAGAAGGCAGGCCTGCTGGTCTACTCCTGAGAAATTAGCTATTGAAAGCCCACAGTTCTACTCAGACACACAAGGGATTGACATGAGTTGGACCTAATACAGCAGCAACAGGTTCAATGGCTTACTAAAGGAGTACTAACCATACTCCTCCCCTTTCCACACACCACAGAAATGTATGACTTGTTACTCCAAGTCACCCTCTGAGTGACCGATGAT